TTTTTTTTCTTTTTAAATGCCAAGAGGTGCAGAAAATAAATTCCAGGGTTGGCCTTGTATTGCTCGATGCACAGCTGCTGCGTACCTCCACGCACACTCACGCACACAAATAGCCTGGAAAAAGCCCCAACTCACCCCAACATCTCTAGAGAGGACATTTCAGAGCCAGTTTCTGAGGTAAATCTACTTTTTAAAAAAAGTCACCGAATTCTTGGCCTTGTATTGCTCGATGCACAGCTGCTGCGTACCTCCACGCACACTCACGCACACAAATAGCCTGGAAAAAGCCCCAACTCACCCCAACATCTCTAGAGAGGACATTTCAGAGCCAGTTTCTGAGGTAAATCTACTTTTTAAAAAAAGTCACCGAATTCTGTACACTTTTTTTTTTTAATATACTTCTACACATATAGCGCGTATTCTCCAGTGCCAACACTTAGACCCGCCGTCTCCCCCTGCCGTAGTTTTTTTGAGGGGCGGGGCGGGCTCTGAGTTGGCGGCGCCCATCGGGGGGTTCTTCATGGGCTCCAGCGTGTCCAGGACCACGTCCGGGGCCTGCTTGCCTGTGTTCTGCCTCTCCAGCTCCCGCAGCTCATTCAGCGCTGTGCTCATGGTCTTCTCGATGTCCTGCGAACGCCACCAAGAAAGGGATGTCAGCACCATGCCATGGCATCGCCCCGCTCTCCTGCCTGGAGAGGCCCCCCCACCCCAGCACGTGTGCCTGTTTGGGGGGGTCTCTGACCCACGACAGAGCCTCCAGGCAAAGCAGGAGCTTTGGGAGAAGATGCAAAGCCCCAACTCTGGCCACGCAAAGGCGCCCCACATCTCCCAAGTCAACAGGAGTTTGGGCGCCAGCTCCAAAGGGAGCAAATCCCGGGCACCACGAGCAACGTGGTGAACGCCAGCCTGTCCACATCTCCAGCAAGGCAGGGCACCTGCCCCCCCCCCGCACAGAGGCTGTGTTTTCCCCAAAAAAGGAGGCTCTGCAGCCTCCATCAGGCGTCCGGGACCTCTGCTGTCCCTGTGCCTGCAGGGCAATGGTGCGCGTGGGGCAGAGCGCAGGGGGACGCACGCAGAGCGATGGTAGCTCGCCATAAATAGAAGAGAGGCAGTGACAAGGCCTCTCCCGGGGCTGGGGGAGGCAGCCGAGGCGACACCAGCCCCAGCCCCAGCCCGCCCGCCTGCCCCAGGTCATGTCTCCTGGCCACGGCCCCCATGGTCCGTCCACAGAGACCCTCCAGAAGGTGAGCCCAGTTCAACTGGAAGTGCCCATTTAAAGTCAATTAGCTAAATTCATGCTGATTGTCTCATGCAGAAATAGAGAGGCCCTAGCCTGGCTTCCCTTAAACCCGCCTTAACTGAACTAAGGCCACTGACTCAGACCCCCTGCAAAGTGGCTCGAGGCAACCGCATCGGTTGTGTCGGAAGCCGCTCCAGCTAGCCCCCCGCCCTCTCCTTGTGTAGGCGAGCCCTTCATTTTGTAACGTGCACAAAATGCTCTGTGAGCCTCAGATCGTGTTCGGAGGATCAGCAGAAGGGAAATAATTATCAAATTAGCTCCGATTAATTCTATTAAGCTGTTTGGATAATGAGTGAAAATATTCTCCTAGAGCTAAGCCTCAGGACTACCAAGTCCAGCAGTCCTGCAGACTTCAAGGTAAATATTTATTTACACCAGCTGAGTGAGAGCCTTTTCCGAGGTTTAAAAACAACACCCAATAAGCCAAGAAAATGGCACGTACCGTGCTTCATCCTCAGCACCCACCCACCCA